GGACCAGTCTTGAGAACATCTACTGCCAATAAAAATGTGTATTTAAAGACATGTGGTCTAAATCAATAACTATATTTAATATCATGAATCAATGTATACATATTTATGAAGTGGTTTAACAAGGCAGGTGGTCTCCCATAGGGTGTTTGGTCTCTTGAGACAGGTTTTCTGTCTCACTGAAAGTATCAAATTTTGTTTTCTTTCTCAGAGAAACTTCTGTAATAAGTTTTCACTAACCTTGTTACATTCATTGTCAAGAACCAATTCAGCTTTTTATATTTTCTTGCAGATACCAGATAATAAGTAAGAGAGTATCTAAAATTTCAACATACTGGACTAGGGTTGGGGAAAAAGGCAACTGTTGTGACACTTGCAAATTATTGAGGTTTCAAATCATGGGGCTTGCGTGCCCTTAAGGACACTAAATAACCCTTGGATGAAAGGGTTCGAAATTAACATGGTGCTATAATAAATTTAATTCACTACCAGGTGATATTATACCTATAACATATTACACTACATAATACAGTATTATGTTGGTTTGAAAAACAAGGTGCTAAATTAATATGTAATTTTATAAGTACGGTTTACTGGTTTCTAAAAGAAAGTCAAATGATCATGTTTTCTGCGATGATAATTAAAACACTTATGAATATATATTTTTGTTTTGAACAAATTCTTGGGGAATACTAAACTTTGTTAATCAAACAAAAGCCTAACAGACATTATATGCAAAATAAGATTATGCTTTTGAAAATTTTCTGATAAACGGTTTGAAAATATCTTACATGTATAATCGTTATGAGCAGCACTGTTTTAGACTCCCTATTTATATGTCAGACTTCCTATTTATATTTTAGAACCCCTATATTTTAGAACCCCTATTTATATTCACAGCACATTACACATACACTCTCAGCAGAGAAGGGGTTTTTCGTAATTTTCCACATGAAAATCAGAACACTTGGAAAAAACACATTCCTACCAGAAGAAAATATTGGTTTCAATTACCTATTTCACTGCATGAATGTACTTTTGAAAAACAATAAAAGCCATTAAGTGAAACCACAATCATTTTCATATAAATTTTTCAAAAAAGAAATAGAGATATTTTAATGCTGTTGACACAGTATATTTTTAAAATCCTAGAGAAATACAAATGATCCCAATTTTACAAACTCAGCAGTTTATAGGTACATGTTATTACTGTAACATGTAGCATCATTAATCTTAAATGCTTCGGCCCCTATAACAATCTCCTTATAAAAATAGAGCAAATGTTTATAATGTAGTGATACTGTGATACCGTATAGACCATAAGGTCTCCGCTATTAAAAGGACTGAAACTGATAACAAAAGGCCCATAGGGCTGAACCGCTCACCTGGTAATCTCGCCAAACATGTATGTACGTTTCAAATGAACAAATTTAGGAGACCATGAGAAATAAGTCATGAATAGGTGATAAAAATATGAAATGACGTAACGACTTCCGAGTACTTTAGTTTACCTGACAAATAAGGCAGCTAGCCCACACGCAAGGCTTGACCTTATATGGATAGTTTACAACAATCTGAATATTTGGAATGAGTTTCATCAGTTTGGTACGAATGATAAATGCTAGGGTTTTTTAAACACATACAGTCACTGAAAACATATTTTGCAAGCTTTTGAAAACATTTGTTTCCTCTGTCAAGTCAAAGAGGGCTAAAATGAAGTTTTGCACTCTTTGCTTGACAATTAAAGGAAACAGACCTTTTGAAAGCTTGCAAAACAAGTTTTCAATTACCTTTTGTGTTCAATACAAAATTATAATTCATACCAAACCGAGGAATATCATTTGCATTGATCATATTGGATACATTACAGGTAAGACACTGAAGCTATGTGTTGGTACAAGATTGTGTGGTTTGATTATTTCAGGTTTAATGGCCCATAGTAACAAGGAGGTCACTTGGGGTCATTTTATGGTGAAATTGTGATAATGCGGTGAGGGACCAAGGGAGGCCAGTTCAGAAAGGAAAACAAAGGGGTAGGGTAGAATAGAAAAGATAAAGACCATTTTAGGGGCCTCTTACGCCACGCAATGGTTACGTTGGGCCTATTCTTAGCCTCCCGAGCCCTCAGGGAACAACAGGTTTCTAAATGTTTTTGTGACATACTATCTGGGCCTCAAATTTTTGTATCTTTTGCTTTTTATTGCAGTTTTCAGACAAATTTTTCTTCTTCTTTCTATTCCATACTGAAATGTATAACAATGAGAAAGATCATGAACCTATTAAAAATAGTTTAGCTTTTTGGGGGGAAATCTGTTTTATTCAATGACAACATTTACTTATTTCTCTTTTTTAAGCCTTTCTTCAAAACCAGCTTCATCAAGACAGTTTTGATAGGAAGTATTTTTGATACAATTTATATTACAAGTACATGTTTATACATCATTAAAAATACTAACTTATCCATATATAAAACCTACAGTATTTTTCATTGTTAAAAGAAATTTTCCTATCTTTTCTATTTACCCAGTACTACTGTTTTGGGGAAATATATTATTTAATGAAAAATATTGAATTATCTTTTTTTTATGCCCTTTTCAAGATTGCACATTTATGATATAATTCATAATAATATATAAAAAAAAAAATCATTAGAAACAGACCGTATATATTGTTCTCTTTATTTCAAGAGCCTTGTCTATCTTTTCTATTTATTACGTTTGTGTTAACAAGGATTTAACACAAAAGTAATAAATAGAAAGCAGTGAATAACACTCCTAATTATATACTACTTAGAGGGAATTCATTGTTATTTAATGAAAACTTATTATTTTTTCTTTTTTATGCCGTTCTTCTACAGTTGATTATTTATGACAACTTTGACGAGAAGTATCTTTGAAACAAATATCATTACTTATTTTTTTTATAAAAAGCTATATGGAAAAAAACATGACTTTATTACCTGGGTATAATGGATGCCATCAGGAAAACTACACATCTTCCATGAGTTGTCTCCCTGCAGTAAAACCCAACTAACAGTTACATAGTACCATGGCAAAATATTAGTTGGGTTTTACTGCAGGGAGACAACTCATGGAAGATGTGTAGTTTTCCGGATGGCATCCATTATACCCAGGTAATAATGGATGCCATCAGGAAAACTACACCTCTTCCATGAGTTGTCTCCCTGCAGTAAACCCCAACTAACATTTACATAGTACCATGGCAAAATATTAGTTGGGTTTTACTGCAGGGAGACAACTCATGGAAGAGGTGTAGTTTTCCTGATGGCATCCATTATTACCTGGGTATAATGGATGCCATCCGGAAAACTACACATCTTCCATGAGTTGTCTCCCTGCAGTAAAACCCAACTAATATTTTGCCATGGTACTATGTAACTGTTAGTTGGGTTTTACTGCAGGGAGACAACTCATGGAAGAGGTGTAGTTTTCCTGATGGCATCCATTATACCCAGGTAATAATGGATGCCATCAGGAAAACTACACCTCTTCCATGAGTTGTCTCCCTGCAGTAAAACCCAACTAATATTTTGCCATGGTACTATGTAAATGTTAGTTGGGTTTTACTGCAGGGAGACAACTCATGGAAGAGGTGTAGTTTTCCTGATGGCATCCATTATACCCAGGTAATAATGGATGCCATCAGGAAAACTACACATCTTCCATGAGTTGTCTCCCTGCAGTAAACCCCAACTAACATTTACATAGTCCCATGGCAAAATATTATGGCCTATCCATTACACCTGTTCAGGTCAAGCACTGTTTTATATATAATTTTGCAAAAGAACTCTTTCAATGAATTATCTTCCTTTGTGATTAATAACTCATGACAACAAATTATGGCAAATCTATGATGCGAGGAGAATATCCCAGAAAGACAACAGCTGTTCAGGTCAAACACTGTTTTATATATAATTTTTTCATTCCAATATGCAGAAGAACCCTCTCAATGAATTATCTTCATTAGTGAATAATAACTCATGACAACAAATTATGGTCAGTCTTTGATGCGAGGAGAATATCTCATAAAGACCACAGCTGTTCAGGTCAAACACTGGTTTATATATACTTTTTTCATTCTAATATGCAGAAGAACTCTCTCAATGAATTATCTTCCTCAGTGAATAATAACTCATGACAACAAATTATGGTCAGTCTTTGATGCGAGGAGAATATCTCATAAAGACCACAGCTGTTCAGGTCAAACACTGGTTTATATATACTTTTTTCATTCTAATATGCAGAAGAACTCTCTCAATGAATTATCTTCCTCAGTGAATAATAACTCATGACAACAAATTAGGGTCAGTCTTTGATGCGAGGAGAATATCTCATAAAGACCACAGCTGTTCAGGTCAAACACTGTTGTATATATTTTTTTTCGTTCTAATATGCAGAAGAACCCTCTGAATAATAACTCATGACAACAAATTAGGGTCAGTCTTTGATGCGAGGAGAATATCCCATAAAGACCAAAGCTGTTCAGGTCAAACACTGGTTTATATATACTTTTTTCATTCTAATATGCAGAAGAACCCTCTGAATAATAACTCATGACAACAAATTAGGGTCAGTCTTTGATGCGAGGAGAATATCTCATAAAGACCACAGCTGTTCAGGTCAAACACTGTTTTATATATATTTTTTTTCATTCTAATATGCAGAAGAACCCTCTCAATGAATAATCTTCCTTAGTCAATAATACCTCATGACAATAAATTATGGCCAGTCTTTGATGTGAGCAGAATATCCCATAAAGACCAAAGCTGTTCAGGTCAAACACTGGTTTATATATACTTTTTTCATTCTAATATGCAGAAGAACTCTCTCAATGAATTATCTTTCCTAGTGATTAATAACTCATCACAACAAATTATGGCCAGTCTCTGATGCGAGGAGAATATCCCAGAAAGACAACAGATGTTCAGGTCAAACACTGTTGTATATATTTTTTTTCGTTCTAATATGCAGAAGAACCTTCTCAATGAATTATCTTCCTTTGTGAATAATAACTCATTGCAACAAATTATGGCCAATCTCTGATGCGAGGAGAATATCCCATAAAGACCACAGCTGTTCAGGTCAAACACTGGTTTATATATACTTTTTTCATTCTAATATGCAGAAGAACCCTCTCAATGAATTATCTTCCTTAGTGAATAATACCTCATGACAACAAATTATGGCCAGTCTTTGATGCAAGGAGAATATCCCATAAAGACAACAGCTGTTCAGGTCAAACACTGTTGTATATATTTTTTTCGTTCTAATATGCAGAAGAACCCTCTCAATGAATTATCTTCATTAGTGAATAATAACTCACGACAACAAATTATGGCCAGGCTTTGATGCAAGGAGAATATCCCATAAAAACAGCTGTTCATGCCATAAATGTTATATATATTTTTCATTATAATATGCAGAAGAACTCTCTCAATGAATTATCTTTCCTAGTGAATGATAACTCATGACAACAAATTATGGCAAATCTATGACGCGAGGAGAATATCCCAGAAAGACAACAGATGTTCAGGTCAAACACTGTTTTATATATATTTTTTTCATTCTAATATGCAGAAGAACCCTCTGAATAATAACTCATGACAAAAAATTATGGCAAATCTATGACGCGAGGAGAATATCCCAGAAAGACAACAGCTGTTCAGGTCAAACACTGAATTATATATAATTTTTTCATTCTAATATGCAGAAAAACCCTCTCAATGAATTATCTTTCCTAGTGAATGATAACTCATGAGAACAAATTATGGCAAATCTATGACGCGAGGAGAATATCCCATTAAGACCTCAGGTGTGCAGGTCAAACTCTGTTTTATATATAATTTTGGAAAAGAACTCTCTCAATGTATTATCTTCCTTTGTGAATAATAACTCATGACAACAAATTATGTCAAATCTATGATGCGAGAAGAATATCCCATAAAAACAGCTGTTCATGACATAAATGTTATATATATTTTTCATTATAATATGCAGAAGAACTCTCTCAATGAATTATCGTTCCTAGTGAATGATAACTCATGAGAACAAATTATGGCAAATCTATGATGCGAGGAGAATATCGCATAAAGACCACAGCTGTTCAGGTCAAACACTGAATTATATATAATTTTTTCATTCTAATATGCAGAAGAACCCTCTGAATAATAACTCATGACAATAAATTATGGCCAGTCTTTGGTGCAGAGAGAATATCCCATAAAGACAACAGCTGTTCAGGTCAAACACTGTTTTATATATAATTTTGCAAAAGAACTCTCTCAATGAATTATCTTCCTTATTGAATGATAACTCATGACAACAAATTATGGCAAATCTATGATGCGAGGAGAATATCCCATAAAAACAGCTGTTCATGCCATAAATGTTATATATATTTTTCATTCTAATATGCAGAAGAACTCTCTCAATGAATTATCTTCCTTAGTGAATAATAACTCATGACAACAAATTATGGCCAGTCTTTGATGCGAGGAGAATATCCCATTAAGACAACAGCTGTTCAGGTCAAACACTGTTTTATATATATATATTTTTCATTCTAATATGCAGAAGAAATCCCTCAATGAATTATCTTCCTTTGTGATTAATAACTCATGACAACAAATTATGGCCAGTCTCTGATGCGAGGAGAATATCCCATAAAGACAACAGCTGTTCAGGTCAAACACTGTTTTATATATATTTTTTTCATTCTAATATGCAGAAGAACCCTCTCAATGAATTATCTTCCTTAGTGAATAATAACTCATGACAACAAATTATGGCCGATCCATTTTACAGAAAGAATATCCCATAAAGAAAACAACTGTTTACACAAGCAAGAGGCAACATAAGGTTATTCAATTTTTTTTATACCTGGGATTATAATCTTTGTATATGTACAAAGAACATATGCCATCAAGAAACCAGCAGATCCTCCATGAGTTATCTCCCTGTAATAAAACCTAACTACAGTGACAAAGCTATGAGATGTTGAGCTAAAGTGCTGTCCTTATTTTTAAGTAGCCGACAAGACATGCCCCAGAAGAGTAGACAAAGAAAGTCACAGACTCCCTATGAGAGAACAGTAAGAGGGGATGTAGTCACACACTCTCGCCGGAATCATCATGGATGGGTCTATTAGGAAATGCTGAGAAAGAAGAAGAGTCAGCAGTTCTTATGCAAGCAGTTGCAACCCCCCCCCCCCCCCCCCCCCATAGCATAGGGAGTCCCTCATTGTCCTTAACCAACACTGGGTATCAAGCTGTCTCAGGTACTCATTACAGTAATTTGCCTTCCCCCTTGTGAATTATTGGGGACACAGTTGGTGTCCATGTTTTCCAGGCAAAGAGGGACAAGATTTTGGGATGAGAGTATACTGAATTAGATATACTGCTAGAAATAAACCCAGATTATTCAAATGGGATACAGAACATGAAAAACCAATGTAAACTGGAATTAGACAAAATAACGGAAGATCATTGCAATCTGTGACAGGAGGGATGAGTTTGTTTATTGATACATTAGTATATATATATACCACCTGAAAAAACTCAACAAATATAATACTATAAAGGGCTTTGTTAAAGACAAAATCAGAAAGGCAAAAGACAGGAACTGATCAGGGTCAAGTTGCCAACAGAAGAATTCAAATGGGATGTATTCACTGAATTTTCTGACGACATGAAAAACCAATGTAAACTGGAATTAGACAAGGTAATGGATGATTATTGCAATCTGTGACAGAAGGGATGAGATGGGCAGCAGCAAAACATCTTTTATTTATACCTTTTTTTTTTTCTAATTTGTTTATTCATACATTAGTATATATATATACCACCTGAAAAAGTCATAGAAGGCAGAAAGGCCTAGCGGTAGATCTTACATATTTATTATTATTTTTTCTATATTTTTCCTTCGTAATTACTTGTTTATTTATCATCTACTATATTTATTTATATATTTCTTTTTTATTCATTTGCATATTTCAATATGAACTCTCTCGGCTGAGGGATATTACCAACAAATGCGGTTTAAATCTGTACAGACATGTTGGAGGAGTAGTCTTTTACAGGAAAAGTTGACAGATGACTGACGAATGCTGTGCCATGGCATAATCTCACTTGGCCTTTGACCAGGTGAGCTAAAAATACTGATTACAATATAATATTCAATAGATAGCAGTGTTATTTGACACTCCCCATATAGAATTTCTAACAAAATATTTCATATCCTAAAGCGTGTATTATATTTATCTGATTTAGAAACAGTTTTTAAAGTAAAATATTTTCAAATGTAATTGAATTTAAAATGCACTTACAATACACCTGTATGGAGAAATAGTCCTGAATCAACAAAATAACAGATTGATCGATTAGAAATATGAGCTTTTGAAGCCATTCACCTTTGGTTATAAACATTTCATTATTCAAAAAAATATTTTATGATAATGATTTCTACAGATCAGTACCTTCAAAGGAATTCCACAAAAAATTAACAAATAACATGGATCCCCATTCCAATTTTTGAAAAATCACTGGCAAAATTTCAGGAATTTTAAACACTGAATGACAATTTATGAATGGAATGTATTATTGAATTGTCCAATTTCTTCTGTAGGCCTACTTCTATAACAAATCTTATGATACAAGACATTTTTTTTTTCAAAAAAAGAATTCATATGGACTAATAAAAAACAATTTATTTTTGTTATTTTGAACAGGAATGTGTGCCTTTAAAGAACTTTAAAATGAGGGTGAAAAACCGTTGTAGACAGATGTCAATATGATGTAAACTGTCACCATCAATCTTGTATATATATTAACTATAGTATACTGGTACAACAACATTTAATTAATACTCGTCACATTTTCTGCAAACAATGCATATACATCAAATAACTTTTCTAACAGATCAGCAGAAAAAAAAATGAAATATATAGATATCACAGATATAAGAGACAGCTTGTGTATAATCTTGCCTTCATTTAAAACAGCATTTCAAAACTGATAAATAGTTTAATACACATGTAAGGAAAGTGGTCACCAGCACAAAGTGGAGAATGTTTCACATCCTAGATGGAATGTTTCTCGGTATCTCCTGGTCTGCTATCACACAATATTTGTCTGTGGCACAATTTGTCAAGAATATGACACACTACTACCATATATCTGACAGCCTCTGAACCAAATACAACCTTGTTTGACCTTGCTTGTCGAGGTTGTTAAGGTCAAAGTTCATACTTTGTATGTCTTGGTTGCACTGAGATAACTTTTAATTTGGTTGAAGTTATTCAGGTCAAAGTTCATATGGAGATCAACTTTGACCTCCATACGACCGTTCAAATATCTGGGGATAACGTTGGTCGAACCTTTTTCTTTTTATGTATCCCCCCCCCCCCCCCCCCTCCACAAAATCAATAACAAATAATTGACACTTGTGTAATTTACACAACGTCTATTTCACTTTTGCTGTACTGGGTGGTGTAATTGGGTCAAGGTGAGCAGATTTGATCTTCATAGGCACGGATTGTTTCATCATGGCCTCGTACTTGAGAGCGTTCTGTTTGCGTTCCTCCTGTAGCCAGTACAGCATTTCAATCCGGTCCCATTTCATCTTCTCCTCGTACGACCGACCCTGGGGGAGCAACAGACACAGAAAGTAAAACTGTAGGCATGCATGTTCTCACGAAAAAATATTACCATGGTGGATCAAGGATAGAAAATTCTTCCAGCAACCCTCAACACCCCATCCCTATATCTTTGAGCATTAAGTAACAGAAAACTGTGTTCCTCTATCACCCTGTTAAAATTCTTTTATTTATTTTAGTAAACATCACTCTGTGAATAACTTTTAGGAGGTTTGATATCGTAAACTTTCAAAAGAGTGAGGCAGTGAAAACAGTGGAGTCAAATTTTATTAAGCATCTCAGATTGGTTTGGTTTAGTATTGTTTAACGTCCTATCAACAGCTATGGTCATTTAAGGACGGTAGCATCTCAGAAATTATCAGAAGCTTACAACAATGTCAAGAACATGAAATAATGCCCTACCTTGTATGTGATGATATCTTGAAATTGTTGCATCATGTAGTCTATTTCAATTTTAATCTCCCGGTCATAATAGTCGATTCTCTGTGAAAAAGAAAAAGTTGTATTTAGTTTAAAGATAATTCATAAAGCAAATAAAAAAATAAATATATTGAATGTATCCTAAAACAAGAAAGTTTGATAAAACTTGATCCGGGTCATTCAGTGTCTTGATTACAGATCAAGAAATTGATAAGGCAGCAAAACATTGTAGTGACCCAAATCTTATGACATTTATTGATTGATAAGATTGTCTGGGTTGAGAAGTCTACACAAAGCAATTAAGTGGGTCTGAACTGTAGATTTGTACCGGTGCATTATGACATATACCACTAATTATGATGAATGTTTTTATACCGAGGCTCAGGGCATGCTAATAGCTGTAAGTGAGAAGTTAGTAATTACTGGTAGGGGGGGGGGGATCCTCTATCATTATATGTAACTGACAGTTCATCAATGATTGGGTAATTTTTAGAAGTTAGTTACACAATGGACACCATCTGGGACACAGATTGTATAATTCTATGCCAATCTCACTGTATACAGATCATACTGGTACAGTAAATTCTGACTTTACTGTGATATCCATTCTTCTGGTGTTACCAGCTCATTTAAGATGTTTTTCTTTTGTTAAAATAACAATTTGGACTTTCCAAAGATATCTATCCACTTGTTCCTACTTTTATTTAACACATCACATATACATTGAAATGCAAAATTTGACACCAGGACCCATTTTCATGAAACCGTTCTCATGCTCAAACTCAGATTCTGTGCTCAAGCCCAATTTCTTGTTCCAGTGATGAATAAATAAAAAATCACATTTTGTCTATGATTGGAAAATGTTTTTAATAGAAACTTCATGCAGAAAGCTGTTTAAACTGCTTGTACTTGACATTTTTACTGTGTGACATGATTTAAGTAAGTTACAAGCAAGCATGTCTGAATACTGATGAGCCGTAAGGTTCAAGGTAATAAAGAACTGAACTGAGTACAAAATCCATGCTTGAGCATGAGAACAGTTTCATGAATACGGGCCCAGGAGCTGAACTTGGACCATCCAGCATAAAGGGGTTCAAACACTCTCAAATACTTTAGATCTCATGTCGGAGAGGGGCTGGTAGCTCATGTACTACTTTCCTAGGTGTTCTTAAATATTTAATGACAAATAACACTGCATGCAAATCCTTTCCTTATAAATCTTATAGCAATCATTTTGTTGGTGAAAATATTTCGGATTTCATAACACAGAACTTGCCTTATAGTAAAAACTTCGCTGTTTTGCCTCCTGTAGTCTTTTTACTGAACTTCCCTTGTTGCCTGCGAGGAGAAAAACAAAAATGTTATACAGTAAAATATATATATAGAACATAAATCCTTCATACTAACAATTACATTCTGAATGAGTATGATTGTGTGATTACATCAGGTGCCTTAGACATTACATTAATTATGTTTGGGTTGCAAATAAATTAAGAATGTTGGATTGTTTACTCACCTTTCTCAAAGAACCTGTTAGGATCAGAAGCATTACGTTCAAACTTTTCCAGTTTTGCCAATAAATCTTCCCTCTTCAAAATAAATTCTGTCACTTTCTCCCACCGGTCAATCACCTGCAATACCAAGATTCAAATCACAAATGATAAATGTTATTTCTGATCCAGGTCCGATTTACGTAAATCGGACCTGCGAACATGCATTGGTATTTCAGTTATTTCACAATAAAGATACAATAGTAAGGATTTCTTACAGCTTCAGTCGAAAAGTTTTAGATTTCAGGAAATGAGAACCAAATTCCTAAAAATGTCTCTGAAAATGAATATCGTAAGATATGGTACTACTAAATGGGTAGTATGATTTTTCTGCTAGTTTTACAGTAAAACCTTGTTATTTGCCCAGAGGTATTTCGGCACTATACAGGGGTTTGGTGATAAACTGAGGGAAATGCATAGAAGAATTATTGAGAAAACAAGAAAAAAGGGACATTGAAATATGTGGACATTAAACAAGGTGGCAAATGACCAAGGTTTACTGTATAATGTTCAATAATAAAATGTGTGTATTCTGTAACTTCAAAATGGTTTTACTGTACCTCAAAGAGCCGGGAGTAGAACTCGTTACAGCTGTACTTGATCGCCATGTCAAGTCGATGAGAATCGGGCATTTCTAGGGACTTCCAAACCTTCTCTAGTCGGTCCTGGGGCGTCAGGGGCACTTCAACGGGGGCACTCTGTAAGTCACACAACACCAGATCAGGGCATTGTTAATAAGAGTCCGAGTTGCTTAAAGACAACTTAATGTAAAACTATAAATATTTTCAAAATATTTGAAATCTAAAATTGAATGTTCATTTATTGGGATTCAAAACAAACATCTAGGAGTGTAGTCATGAAACTGTTTTTATGCCTTAAGCATTGATTCTGTGGCCAAGTCAACTTCCTTGTAACTCTCTAAAATTATGTGACATGGTCAAAAAGTCAAGTGTAAACACCGAAAAAGTTTCAAGTTTTAAACTTACTCAAAAATGTTCAAAATGTGATTTTTTATTTATTTATCACCGGAACACAAAATTGGGCTTGAGTACAGAATATAATTTGAGTATGAGAACGGTTTCATTAATACGACCTCTGGAGACAAGAAATACAAAAAAAAGGATTGTAAACTGTCAGCAGAAAAGACTACCCCATCCAATCACCCCCATCAATACAATACAAATATCTAACAACAAATATCTAACTACAAAAAAACCCACAAAAACCTGAACTTTGTACAAAATGTCAGAACAGATTAACAATCTGGCAATAAGGCTACAAAGGGGCAATAACTCCAAACAAGAGGCCCATGGGCCTTAACGGTCACCTGAGTCCTACAGTATTTATTTTTGTTGTTGAAATATGTACCAATTTGAGTAAAAAATAGTTAAGTATAACGTTAACTTAACTTTGTCAGGACCATAAGCTGATCATTCCTAGACCTATTTTCAGTTAGATCGGCCTATTAGAACTTGTTTTTAAGTTTGAAAAAGGTATTTACAAAATAGCGGCCATGGCAGCCAAATTGTATTTCTGATCGACCTGAAAAATAACAACACTTTGTCAGGACCATGAGTCGATCATTCCTACCAACTTTCAGTTCAATTGGCCTAGGAGAACTTGACTTTAAGTTCGAAATAGTTTTTTCAAAATGGCGGCCGTGGCGGCCATATTGTATTTCTGATCGACCTGAAAAATAACAATACTTTGTCAGGACCATGAGTCAATCATTCCTACCAACTTTCAGTTCAATCGGCCCAGCAGAACTTGACTTTAAGTTTGAAATGTAAAATGTTAACGGACGAGGGACGATGGACGACGGACAACGGAAGACGACGGACGAAGACGGATAGCAATAGGTCACTTGAGCTAAAGCTCAGGTGACCTAAAAATATCAACTATCTTGCCTAAAGGCAATATTCAATCGCAACAAGCTCAGGATAGGTTGGTTTCTTTATTGTATGTCTACCGGTTTCGCCCGAACATGTGGGCTTCTTCAGGACCTTACAAAATATCTTGCCTGATGCAAAGATGTACAAGGACATGGCAAGAGATTGTAAAATTGGTTTTCCTTCACAAAACAGATCTATAATGCACACGTACCTCTTCTGACCTATCTGTGTCCATCTTGCTCATTGTGCCTGTCACTGACGTCACCTTAGACTGACGCGATTGCCGAGACTGTATGAATTCTCTGTAAAAGAATATTGAAAGGTTTTCAAAGTTTCTTTAATCTGAAAGTTTCTTGTGTAAAACTAGAAAAAAAACCATTTTAAGATATTAGCCTGTAGTGACTATAAATAGCATCAGTCACTTTGGCGGTGACTTTGGATCCTGCAATATGAACTCATACTTGACCTTCGAATGAACTTTGAACTTTGGCAAATGTAGTAATTTGAAGAAAAGAAAACTGCTATTTGAAAACGATTTGTTAAACAAATTCATATCAAATTTCTTCAAGGCCAATAACGCATACTCAAAATACATACAACATTCTAGATTGAAGATTGTCCATACTGTTAATTCTGGTTTTAAAAAGCAAGTTACTGTTTAATATTTTTGTAAATTAATTTCAGGTAGATCAGATTAACTCATTCACCCCTGAAGACACATTTGAGCTCCTCCAATTGAAAGGTTGGAATAGTTCATTATGAAATTTCAGGGGTGAATGAGTTAAATAGACAAAGGACAAAGAAAACCAAATGTGAGATAGGGATCAATTAAAATTAACAGAATTGCTAATAACAATAATTTTGTACCTGGTTGAGGTTTTCTCCTGTTGGCGTGCGGAATGGCGAGCAGCAGCACGTTCATGCAAGGTCTTGGCCGACTTGGTTGTGTCTGCTGATTTCTGCCTCTTGGACGAAGCATCGTCATCATCTGTTGTTAGAAAATATGTGATTAATCAGATACTCTGACTTTGTTGAATCTCACAGACTTTGCTGCATCAAGCTTAATTTTTACAGTTTAATGACAAATTATCATGTATAGTAAAAAAAATGTTTTTAAATTGATATGTTTTCTTTAGCTTACTGAAGCAAATCAGTAAGTAAATAATTTTGTGAACTTTTTTTTGATTACTTAGGGAAATACATATATTGAAGCAGAAACTTTCAACCTATAACATAAAATTGAATATGTTTTTAACTTTTTACCTTCAACCATTCCAGGATCCTTCCCCAAGCCTCCCATCAGAATGGTATTGCAATTCCACATTCCTTCCTCATATTTATTCTTTACTTCCTTCAGATCATTTAATTTCTTCTCTCGTTCTCTGTTTTAAGAAATGTGGACAAGGTTAACTTTAAAATGGTAAGCTGAAGAAATAATGGTTACTAAAACTTGTACAAAAGGGAATTGAGAAAAAAGAAAAAAAAAAGAAAAATATTATCTATCACTATCTTGGGAATAAATTATTTAAACACCAACAAAATATTTTTTCACAATAATAAATGCACTAAATATACTACCAGTGGTTTTACCTCTTCACATATTTGCATGTGAAACATTTTTACATAAAGTTATTGATATTTCATATTACACTTAAAACAAAAGTCCAGGTAAAAACAATCAGATCTTGTCCCTTGTTCCTGAACACAAGAGTTCACCACAGGCGTCCTGCTTTATCGAAGTTTGAACGGCTGATGGTAAAATACATAAATCAAGATCCTTACTAAAAGCCTTCCATTTAAATATTATATTATGGATAAAAAAGGCATGTTGCAGGGCTGTCTTTTTTATCTTTTATTTTCATAACAAAGAAAATACTTCATACTTATATGCTTCTTTTAACTTACATGAAATACATTCTAGAGATTTACTTGATATGCTTTTATGCCATGTGTGCATAGATTTGTGTTTTTGCAATTACTTTGTGCAATATTGGAAAAGTATGAAAATAAAAGAATAAAAAAGTAAACTAACATAATAACAAAAATGAAAAAAACAAAAAACAAAAAACAGATGAGAAAAAATAATAATATAAAAAACAGTAGTCTTTAATGAAAAATCAATATAAAAAAATCAAACTATTTCTAAGAATCTAGATTGTTAAATAATTTTTTGAAAACATTAAAAACAGAAAATGACATCTATATATATATATTCTATGCAGAAAACGACATTAAATTAGAATTCACAATCAGTATAGTACATACAGATTAAGATGTACAGAGTCAACGTCACTATTTAGAAATAATTTGTCAAAGACAATGAGGTACTAAGAGACCTTTGTACTTTGTGTGGGTCTAATTTTCACTAATTCTATAGTCACCTTTTTTATGGAAAAGAAATTCATGAAAACATTTTTTCATTTCTTAAAATAAGTATAGGAACTTACCATACTAGAAAGATTTACCATGAATTACATTTTTTTTGGAAAATCGATGAACTAAGTAACCATTGAAAATAAAAATCTCCAACTTTTCATTGAATTGAAAGTGAAAACACTTGTATGATATAGAGGAGAACAATATATATTTTTAATCATATTAATAGCTGCATTATGAAAACAAAGTTTAAGTCCATGCCAACATTTCCTGTTATATATAATGACCAACAATGTAGTTCTAACTATGGCCCCTCTAAATGACTACAAAATTCTACAATGTCGGGTACGGTGAAGAACAATCAATTACAAGTACAAATTCACGCTAACAATAATTAAAATGTCAACATGCCATAAACATATGAGCATACAGTTTACAAGAAAATATCAATTTCAATCACTACAATTTTCAAATCCATTTTCAACCGACAATTTGTATTAAATGTCAAAGCAGAACATTCCATGCAAATACATATGTTACGGTACCAGGCATGCTCAATGGTACAAATACATATGTTACGGTACCAGGCATGTTCAATGGTACAAATACATATGTTACGGTACCAGGCATGCTCAATGGTATAAATACATATGTTACGGTACCAGACATGCTCAATGGTACAAATACATATGTTATGGTATCAGGCATGCTCAATGGTACAAATACATATGTTACGGTACCAGGCATGCTCAATGGTA